GCATTATTCCTTATTAATTCAACTAAGAAAACATTAAACAAAATTATTTAATAAAGAAAACTATTTAACTGTAACTGAACCAGAAATTATGTTGAGCAAAATTTTGTTAAAATAAAAATGGTAAAGAATGTGAACAAACTTCTTCATCATTTTTAAAGTGTACCAATTTATCGGGTTGATCAAAATATGCCATTATCAATGATGGTCGTATATTAGCAGGCATTTCGAGCCAAGCAATTATCTAAGATGTAATTTTTGAATTTTATTTTTGTTTAAGCCTCATTTTTTTCATAAAATTTCAGGCCGATAATTTACTATTCGGTAATTTTAAGGCACAAAATTTATTCCATTTAGTTACACAAACTATTATATTATTACAAATTAAAATTTTAACAATAAAGTACGATAATATTGATATAGTTTAACGATTCAATATTATGCAATGTTTTGAAAAAAATCTATTATTGAATCAATATTTTCTATGAATTACAGATTTGAGATTTTTCATGAAATTTCAAATTTTACTACTCAATAATTTTAATATAGAAATTTTATTCTCTTTTCAAAAGATTGGTTCAATTATGCTCAACCTTATTTTAGAAAATTTATTCAATATCACGAATTACTCAGCATTTATTTGCTAAATCTGTCCGAATTTGCTAACCAAATTTCTCATTCTTTTTATTATTTGCTAATTAGCTAACACATTCAATTTTTTCAACATTTGCAAAATGATCTGCTCAGTTTCGTTTTTTTTTTCAGCATTTATCTCACAATATATTCAAATATCCAAATTTTTTGCAAATCTTTCGAGGCATTTCACTAATTGTTCTGTTTGTTTAATTTTGCTGGATAAATTTAACAAAGTGAGTGCAAAAAAACCTGATCAATCCGATCATGATATGACATTGATTGATTGTATTTCAAATTGTATTTTGGTTGCATACCTGCAAATATGGAATATATATTTTCATTCATTTTATAGAATTTCTCTCTGCTTTTCCTTGTAATTTTCTGCTTTCTCTCTCGCTCCCTCTTCAGAGAAATATAACGATAAGAAAATAACGATAAGTTAGAGAAATACATCGATCATTTTTAAGAAATTCTATTAGATTTAAAAAAAAAAAAAGAAAGGGAAACTAAAAAGACCTATACCATTAATCAATGAATCACATGCAGGCCAAAATAAGCAAGCTGTTGTAATGTTTTGTTGCTCAAGTACATTCCAAATCTGAAATGGATTATATTAATTAAATTAATGAGGTAAATTAGATTCAAATCAATATGAATGGAAAATTTTATACCTAAAATAACTAAAAAATTGATAAGAAAAATAATTTTATTATTTGTAATAATGAAAAATGATTAAAAGACTATATCATAAGTCATTTTACTACTAACCGGTATACCATTAAAATATTGTGCATCATTGGTCCGTCGTATATCAATAAAGTCAGTTTTAAATCGATTATCATAAATGACATTATCCACAATACCGTGACTTTCCGGATATAAGCCGGTAGCAATTGAATAGTGATTTGGGAATGTTTTTGTTGGATATGTTCCATACATATACTACAATTAATTTATTCTTTTTTTCATCAAATTTTACTAAATTTACACTTTTATTAAAAATTTGATAGCAAAAAATTAAAAGGTAACCTGAAACTTCGAATATAGAGGAGGATGAAAAAAAATGATGAATTCAATTATGAAAAAAATTTATTTATGAAATTTAAAACAATGCTTCCAAAAATTTTAATTTTG